CTGAGGAAAGTGAGTACGCTGGTCAGGTTCTAAGGCATCCAGGTTGTCGTATCTGTCAGGAGGTGTTATTGTTATGGACTGCGCTGTAAATTCATCATCAAAGTATCTCGTGTCAATTTCTGAGGTCTGAAAGCTCTATGTATGTGCGATGAACAGCGCACATACATAGGCTTGTTGGCTGCACAGTGACTGCCAGTGATTGGCTTGTCACTGTGCTGTGGGCAGGGGGCGGGTCCGGAGGCAGAAGCGCGGCTCGGCGCAGGCTGAAGAGAAGAGATAAGGTAAGGGGCCTGAATGGAAAGGATAAAATCCTTATGGAAAGCAGGATCTGCCCAGGGATTGTGGAAATATTTTATCCTCTGTGTCGGGGGAATGGTATATGTGGAGAGGGAGTTGCCATCTGCAAGTTTCCCTCAGCTAAAAACACGAAAACAGCTAGGAAGCCGGGACACCTGAGGAAAAGAGCTATGGGGAGCTGATTGAGCTTGGTTGCTGATTGAGCTAAGGTTGTTGTACTTTTAAAGTTACGGTATTTTTGATACCATATTGTTTTTGTTGACCCCCTTTTCCACTTACAGAGCTAGGTTATTGTTTTTCTTTGAAATAAATATTCATGTAATTTTATTGGTATCTATCTTCATTTTTTACATTTACCAGTAGCTGCCTCATTTCCTACCCTAGGCTTATACTCGAGTCAATACTTTTTCCCAGTTTTTTGTGGTAAAATTAGGTGCCTCGGCTTATATTCGGGTCGACTTATACTCGAGTATATACGGTACTCATTCTATTATCTTTACATATGACAGATTCAGAAGCTGAGCCATGCCTTCTTCCTCTGTTTAGTAACAGCTAAGCACTATAATGCAGAAGTTTGAGTCCCAGAAGTCTGATAATTGTAACTCTAATTGTTAACTTGAAAAGCCACATTTTCAAAGGCTCACTGTCCATATGTAATTAGCATATTTACAAAAAGAATTACTGACTGCACATGCGAAGTGGGTGAGCAGATTTTAAGATATTTATACAAACTTGTAAAATGTAAAAGCAAATGTAAGGAAATATAGTTTAAGACTGCTATAACGATTTGGATAATATACAGCTGAACATACATTATAGTCCAACATTCCTCACTGACATTATTAGTAATACATAGAAAACAGGAGGGCAATCATTTCTGTACATGAACTCTCAAAGCACAGAAAGCAAAAATCAAAGCAAATACTTGCAGTTCTGTCACCTTGTACTGTGATCCTGTCAGACAAACTAGCCTGAAGACAAACCCCGTTGCCAATTCTGTCCACATATCTATACAAGTGACACCATCACAGGATCTAAGCAGATAAGCTACAACACCAGGGGCTCAAACAGCTGAACATCCTCTAATGTGATATGTACCATCAAGTACCAGCAATGCCCCTCTGCCATGTATATTGGCCAAACCTTCAAAAAAAGGATAAATGCGGGCAAATCAGACATCAGGAATGGTAACACACACAAATCTGTAGGG